TAACCAATATGATTAAGATGCTCCAGCTTTGGGGGGTGATTACAGTATATACTCGAGTATAAGCTGACCCGACTCAGGTGAGGCACCTAATTTTACCACAAAAACTGCATAAACATGTGCTGGAGGACTCGGCGTATACACGAGTATGTACGGTATATGAAAAGAGTGACTCTTTCGATAACTGTACCCAGTCATGCTTTCTGCAGCACCCCCTCTTCCCATCAGGGAGGAAGTGCCCTTCAGTACGCTCATCACGGTCAGTCCTTAAAATCATCTCGTTCTAGTTATTAAAATACCCTTCTTCACTTAAAATTGTAAGCCTCCCCCTCCCCCCTCATTACAGGCTTGAGGCGGAATATGAGGATTACTTTGTCTTGCATGCATGTGTGCCTTTGCTCTGAATGAGAGGACTCATCACCTGGTGGAAGTAGCTATGAGTTGTTCTTTGTTTTTGCTTCATTTCTGTAAATACTGGTGACTTCCAGAGATTGGAGGTGAGGATTGTGTACTCCCTCAGTTACAACCTCGCCACCGTATATAATAAAATATACATATTTTAATATATATATATTATATATTCATATATAGATTCAAGCAGTTGGCCAAATTCTGCCAAATGGACAAATGATAGCAAGAACACACACACACACAAATAAATACATGCATCCTATTGTTGCTCATGGAAAGTGGCTTCAATGTAGAGCATCAAAAGGTAGTAAGTAGAGCCTGCACCATGCCCAAACCTAGCACCCATCCTGAAACACAGCGCCACTTGAGCATGCTTTATTCTAATTGACCGGTCCACTGTGTTGGCCCTTGGTAAGGCTATTTTTAATGTTAAGTGTTCTAAATGTTGATCCTGGTTAGAGTATTCCACACATGGTCAGTCACTGCAGAGGTCGGATTTCTGATACTTTGAATCTAATGAACTCTCCCCAGAGTACAGACTAGACTTTAGTGACGTACTCTATCCACAGGCACAGCACATTATTGAGACTTAACGATTTTCAGAGTAATTGAGGGAATTTCAGAACTGGAAGGGATCATTTATTTCATAGATGAGAATTTTAAAGTACAGAGATTAAATCGTGTGTCCAGTGTCCTGGTATCATACAACACCAAATGGGAGAGCAATTATCTGGTAAGGCTCATCTCTCATTAATACTCTTTTTCAGAAATTCCCTGGCTCATCTTCATAGTTTTCCAATATACTTAATATAATTTTGTCAAGCTCACCAACAATTTGCTTTATTAACAAATGGGATCCTAATGAGTTTATAGCTAATTTAAGGGAAAGTGGAGATATGCTTTAAACATTTCTTCAGATTAAAAAAACAAAATCTAAGCAAGGACATTTTCCCTACCCACCCGACTTGTTGTCAGAATTGAGACAATCAGGTAACCACCATGCTCCCCTCCTGAGTTCTCGCAGCTCATCTTCCCTTCCTGTCAGGCCCCTGGGGCTTCCCTTTATGACCCCCCATTCCACCACCCAATTCCCGTGATGGCAGAGGAAAAGCAATGGGAATTCATCACAGCGCTTCCCATCTGGGAAGAAGTGTCCCTCCCTAGGGAGGGGGCAAGGGGAGCGTGGTGTTGGCTCCTGTAAGTGCCCCTTGTCACTGCTGCTGCTGCCACCATGAGATTGTTTGGGCCCAAGAGCATGGAAGGATGGAAAGAGAAAACAGGTGAAACTGGAGGGGTACCCTCAAATAAAAATGACTGCTTAAACCGGTTCTGCACTCACGGCCTTTACCGTGTTTAATTTTCAGTCTTCAGGTAGCTGCCCCGTGAATTCTATTTCACAGCTGCCTGTGGAGGGAGAATCGGAATAGAAAAGAACTGCTTTTGAGAAACTGGGCTTCCCAAATGCATCCGTAGAGAACTAATAAATTATACTGCAACCTGCCAACGGAATACTATACAGCCATTAAAAAGAATAGGAGTACGCTAATTCTGTGTAGTTGAGTCTGTTCCAATTCATAGCAGCCACAAAGAACAGTAAAACTGCCCCAGAGGGTTTCCGCACCTTTAACCTTTGCAGAAGCAGGCTGCAGTGCCACGTCTTGGTCCCACAGAGGTTTTAGTGGGTGTGGACTATTGGCCTGTTTAGTGGCTGAGATAGTTTATTGTGCCAGCCTGATTGGCTGATAAACACAAGTGGGATTAACTGAAGGGCAGAGAGATAAATGGCTTGGTGAGCCTCGTCTTGTCTCTCGCTCTGTGATCATCGGACCAGTGTGCGGCTGCCTTGCTTGTCCTGTGCCTCAATTTAAAGGCTACACTACCTGTGGGACGCCTAGCCTGTGGACTGTGTTGCTGTAAG